TCACTCACTCTCTGCATATTAATTGGTGCATTTCTGCTGCGGCGGAGAAAACAATCAAAGCGTCAGGGGCGGGTGATGATGCCATTGTGGCAGCCGCAAACACGTACACATATGTACCGAGCGCACACACACACACACACACACACACACACAAACACAAACAGACAGAGAGAGAGGAGGGCGACGCACACACACACACGCACACACACACACACACACACACACACACAAGGCCGACACACACAGAGTACAGTTGCAGGGACATCAGCAGACAGAGCATGCATATATGCACTTGTATACACATATATAACCTGCTGACGTGCAAAATGTGCCCAGACACACACTCATACACACACATTGATTTACTATGTGCACACACTGAGGCAAGCATGCACTGCACATATGGCACAGACTTAGTCAGTCACTCTCAGATACACAATAGCGGGCTTACAATGGCTGATCCAGGAGATATGTTCTGCGTCAGCAAAGACATTTGAATTTCCCAGCCAACATTTACCTTCACACACTGTGCGAGCACATCACATTTAAATGTTAAAACCAAGGCTTGTAGCCGAGAAACATTCAGACTCACAATTAACTGATTTCTTTCTGTATGTTGTGAAGAATGCAAATACACAAAGACAAAGGTTACATCTAAGTGCTGTTTGTATCGACGCCGCGACGTTGAAGAGAAGAAAATCCCAGCGTTTTATAAATGAGAAAGTAAATGTAACGACGAACATTGCAGGTCTCATAGCTGACTTTTTTTTGTTGTTGCGATACATTTTGCATCTCTCTCCGTAACTCTCTTTGATAAAGGCTGAGAGCTGGTGGAAGAGGCGCGTGGGCTTTGCCACTTCACACGCACCCTGGCCCACGTACTGTAGATCTGAATCTCCGCTTTTGTCATTTGCCCTTAAACAGAACACTCGCTTATCCGAGGCACTCACTTGGAGAAGCGAATAGGACGACGAACAGCAGGGAAAAACAAAGTTGTTCTTGAACTCAGCATTCAAGACCTTAAAATGCTGATTTAGATGGAGCGGATAAAAACTCAGGGTCAACATTACTGAAGGTGTTCGAGTTAAACCACAAAATAACTTTAGTTCCACAGCAGCAGTGGTAGGACAGAACTTCAAATGCATGTTGGAGTGTCTTCACGTCCCAAATCCAGAGAGGTCTCAGGAATGCATTCAGTGATGCAGAATCAGATAAAAAGCTGGTGGACAAGACTCACGAAATTCATCTGTAATAATCAACATGTTCCAAGACGCCACTAAAGCAAACACTAGAGTGAAATTAAAATTGGTAACTTATACTTTTTATTTTAATTTATATTATATATGCAGAGTTCTTGTAGCTCATTGTTTCTGGTTTTGAAGCGCCCTCCGTTCTGCAGGACGTCTTGCTCAGATGTTTCAGACACAGTTTGACACTAAAACACTGTTGGTCTGCTGAAGACGGGACGTTTCTCTGCGTTTCACAAACCAATCACGGTCCAATATGCAGGAAAACTTGATTGCAAATATATGACGAATTTACCTTCCAGTAAAGCAGAAGACATTGAGCACATAAAATGATCCATATTTGAATATTCATAGTTTGTGGATTTCTCAGTGAGGAAGAAGGAGTTGATGAGCTCTGAATGATCTTTAACTGGTTATTTTCTGAAGCTTTACAGAAGAAGAAATGTTAAACTAAATTCATCAGGTGGTCGTAAACATTACTCTGAACGGATTATAATGCTGCTATGTGTCTGTGAAGGCACTTCTTTACCAGCAAGCGTCACAATATGTCAGAGATCACGTTTGGTTGCCTCCTGATCAGTTATCTGTTATCTATTCATGATGCTGCCGTGAACTGTTCACATTCTAGGTGCTGAGCCTGGACCCTGAAAGGTCGCCGTCGTGGTTTGAATAGAGAATAAAAAGTTATTTTGAGCAGGTCTTTGTTGTTGCGCTTTATCAGTTATTTATTCCTCCGGCCACCATGAGGCTTCGTTCAAAGGGTGCACATGACCCCGACCCAAAGCCCAGGGGGGTCGATGCAAAGGTCTACGGTTGACCCTTAAATGGGATCAAGTACAACATAATGATGAGGGGCTCAATTTGGAAAATGTTGTCCCCCCCCTGTCTGTAAATGACTGGCCTGGGCAGAGGCATGTGATCAGTGCTGTCTGTCTGTCTGTTCTTAGCAAGATCACGCAAAAACTACTGAGCTGAATTTTATAAAACTTGGTGGAGACGTGGAACG